TAAAATACTTTAAAGAAAACACACTAAAATGTCTAAATAGGAAAATGAAATGAAAATATCAGAGTAGATGCAACTGAAGACAGCGTAGTCACTACACAGTATCACACACACGCGCGCGCGCACACACACACACACGCACGCACCAAAAGACTACTAAAAGGTACAACTGCAGAGAGTTGGGGAGAGTAAATATCACAAACGAACCAATAGGAATTTAGTGTCATTAAAGCGTTATTTAAAAATGTAGGCAGTAAATAAAGCCCAGCACACAGCTTCCATCAATTGTTTGAATGAATTCAGCAACACACCCAGACGAACTGGGAGCAACTCGTTAAATAAAGTCTACGACCAGAGGTCGTTTGAATCCAGCAGCTTACCTTTGTCGTTTTTCTCCTTATCCATGTTACAACGGACAACATGGATAACTGATAACTCCTCTCCAGCCGGTCACAATAAAGGAAGGGCGGGTGTATCCGTCAAGCACCCCCTCTCCGTCTCCTCCACCCTGTTCTGACAGGAAGTGAGTGATAGGAGCGCCGTCCAATCGCAGGCTGTATCGCGGGAGGCGGGTCTCGTGGCCACGTGGGCCTGTAGAACGTGTTGTGTAGCAAGTGAAAGCTGTTTGGCATATACAGTCGCAGCACACTGGAGCACCAAAGCACACCTAAAAAAAAACAAACCTAAAAAAAATCTGCTGCTCTTTGCCCACACAAACTATGAAGCTATAGAGCTCATAAATCAATCAAATCACTTTTATTGTCACATCACATGTGCAGGCACACTGGCACAGCACATGCGAGTGAAATTCTTGTGTGCGAGCCCCACAAGCAACAGAGATGTGCAAACACAACAACACAAAGGAGCAAAATACAAGAATGGCCAACCTGAAACTAATAAATATATGTACAATATATAATAGTGTATGCATTTCTGGATGTGTAAATATTTTCCTACGTGTGTGTGTGTGTGTGTGTGTGTGTGTGTATACATTTTTACAAATTAAATAGTAAAAAAAAAAATAAAAAAATGCTCAGTTAATGTTTAATCTTAACACATAGATAAATAACTAGAAAGTATTTAACTCTGTGAGGCTTCATCTCAAAAACAAAAAAAAAGTTTAGGAAAATTATTCAACCTTTAGCAAAACAATACCATGTATTTTATAAAGCTTGTGTTTCTGACAGTTTTTTTTATTCATCATCACCTCTCAGGTCCATGTCTGGAAATGAGACAATTTTTAAAGGGGAAAATAATTCTATAATATTATTTTTTTAAACGTAAGAAAAAGAGACAATATTTATAGTTATTTGCCATTTATAGTCTTTTTTTTTTACAGTCATAGCTTTAACTACGTTCCTTTGCCTTACGTCATGGTGTAGATAGGAAGAGAAATAGAGTAGGAGTCATCTTGAAAGAAGAACATGTGAATAGGTTTGTGGAGTCGAAGAGAGCGTCAGATGGAATTGTGAGTTTATAGTTGGAAATCAAAGGGGAGAATGTAGCTAGAGAGCACTGGAAGTTAATCTGTAGCATGACTTTCAAAGTCAAGAAGAGGAGGAGAGTGAAGGCAGCGATTAAATGGTTGAAGTTGAAGGAAAGATGTTGCACAGAGTTCAGGGAGGAGCTGAGTAAAAAGTGAAGAATTGCCAAATGACTGGGAAAGTACAGCAGAAACGGTGGGGGAAACTGTCAAGAAAGAAAATCCTCTGAACAGAAAAAAGAAGACAAGAAAATTTGATGGTGGAATGAAGAACTGCAGGCATTCAAAGTAATATCTTAGCAAAGCAAAAGTAGGATTGTCCGAGAAAGTAGACAGGAGTACTCGAAGGCAAGTCATACAGCAAAGAGAGAAGTGGCAAAGACAAAAGAAAGAGCATATAGTGAGTTGAATGTGAGGCTGAACACTAAGGACGGAGAAAACGACTTGTAGTGATTGGCTGGATAGTTTATGTTAAATAGAACAAGCTCATTTTCTAATTAAGTCTCTAAGGAAATTATTTATTGATGCAACAGATCTCTGGATCTCCCCTAAAGGCACTGCACATCCAGTTTGGATTTAACTAGAAGGGATATTAAATATTAATGAAACCACAATTCTTTGACAATAAATTCATGAACCCTAAGAAGTTTAGAAAGAGCTTGTTGAATTTGACCATGGTATTGTAACAGTTTGGGAATTTCTTTCTTTCCTCCTTGATGTTCTACGAAAATTCCAACAAAAAGTGGTATTATTGCAAAGTGGAAGCAACTATGAATGGGAGGCCATGTAGACTTACAGAGTTACTGAGTGTTGATGTAGTGCTGTGCGATACTACAAATTTTGGTATCCATACCAAACACACCTGAGCATCCAGCACAGGACACTGGGGAACCACCAATGCACCAGTGGGTGGGGGCTTGAGGCACTGGCAGGGAGTGCGGCCCAACACCTGGAGGATCCTGAAATGTTCTAAGGGGAGTCTAAGACTTGACCTGACACATAGACATACATGACACAGACGACCCTCTGCCAGACAACGGTTGGCGTTAGCGGGAACAGCCAGAGGCCCACGATGTCCGGAGGAACTCACTCGCCTGGTGGAGCGCTGCAGCGAGGGCCCCCTGGCCGAGCTCTGGGTGTGCAGCGCCAGCAGCTAGAGCCACAGCAGCTGAGATTTTCTTTTTTTCTTTTTTTTGTAGTTAGGGGCTAGGCAGCATCTAGGGAGGCTGCCAAGACAGGCTCCCACATGCGATCACAATTGCCACACACACACTCTCACACAGTACCACACGTAGGTACATGTGCAATATGTAACAGAGTAGAGAGATAGGCTCAAAATGATAAAGAACTACTGTTGCTCTCTTATTAGGGAGTTTTTCTTTCGTTACAGGAAATGCTTTACATGCTTTAGGCGAGGTTGCTGTCAACCTTGCAAGTTCACAGTGCAGACTCTCCAGTCACTATTCTGTGACTTTAGCATATGAATAGGGAGCATTTTAACAAACAGTCTGATTCAATCTTGGAAATAACTTTGCATTACTTTTATTAATTATTAAAAAGAGAAAATGTTTGTATAGATGACATTTACCAGTCGTTAAATTACTAATTCGCTTGTTATCCTTAATTCTCTAATGTCCAAGTCAGTGATGAGCCCAATAATAAACATAAGTCTATCAGAATATGTATGTTAAAGTTTTCACCTACGACAAAGACAGCGAGGACTGTTATTATTATATTTATTTATTTTACAGCAGTCAGCTGTTCCTTGTCTTGCTTCTGTTACGCACACCAGAGAGTACACATTGAACAAAGAATAGACACTCAAAAAAAGGCCTTGAAACAGCCCCACAGGGACACTGTTTGTGGTAAATGTAACACATTGGTTCAGTATAGACTAATGATTTACTACGGACGTATTATTCCGTGAGTAGATCCAGCATGAGCAGCAACATTAAGACGGTTGATTAGTGTCTAAAAATGATGACTAAAACTTTTAGTAATGAAGACTTGTATTTGTAAAGGAGTATTTTAGAATGGATTGAAATAATCCAAATAATCTTCCACCATTAGTTGCAGTGGGCGAGAAAGATACGAGACAGACATTTCAAGATTTTGCAAATATTTTCATGTTAACCACTTGCATTTGTGACATAAGTGTGAGGACTCAGGGCTGTGTGTCGGACAGGGTCGTCTGCAGTACGGGGGCCCCACAGGGAACGGTTCTGGCTCCGTTCCTCTTCACCATCTACACTGCTGACTTCTCCCACAATTCCACCCAGTGCTTCCTGCAGAAGTTCTCTGATGACTCTGCAATAGTCGGCCTCATCACTGATGGGGACGACAAGGAGTACAGAGGTCTGACCCAAGACTTTGTGGACTGGTGCCAGCTGAACTACCTCCAGATCAACGCCAGTAAAACCAAGGAACTGGTGGTAGACTTCCGCAGGCACAAGCATCCTCCACTTCAACCACTGAACATCCAAGGTATGGACATTGAGGCTGTGGACAGCTACAGGTACCTTGGTGTTCATCTGAACAATAGACTGGACTGGACTCATAACTCAGACGCCCTCTACAGGAAAGGGCAGAGCAGGCTGTACCTGCTGCGGAGACTCAGGTCGTTTGGAGTGGAGGGCCCACTCCTGAAGACCTTCTATGACTCTGTGGTGGCTTCTGCTATCTTTTATGGTGTGGTCTGCTGGGGCGGCAGCATCTCTGCTGGGGACAGGAAGAGACTGAACAGGGTGATCCGAAGGGCCAGCTCTGTTCTTGGACCCAGTGGAGGTGGTGAGTGACAGGAGAACGGCGGCTAAGCTGTCATCCCTGATGGACAACATCTCCCACCCCATGCAGCAGACTGTGACAGCACTGAGCAGCTCCTTCAGTGGGAGACTGCGGCACCCACGGTGTGGGACGGAGAGATTTCGCAGGTCTTTCCTCCCCACTGCTGTCAGACTCCACAACAAAGACTTTAACTGATCAAGCACACACATCCATACATATGCAATAATACTAAGTGCAATAATCCTTTCTGTCATCGTTGTATTTTTACTCAGTTGTATATAGTATTTGTATTCTATTTTTATCTTATTGTATATTTATTTTATTCTATTGTATATAGTATTTTATTTTATTTTATTCTATTCTGTACAGTTGTGTACTGTATTTATTCTTATTGTATTCTAATTTTTGCCTCATAACTTTTGCACTGTCCACTCCTGCTGTGACAAAACAAATTTCCCACGTGTGGGACTAATAAAGGTTATCTTATCTTATCTTATCTTATCTTATCTTATCTTATAAAAGAAACCTATTTTGTGAAAAACTAGTGAGGAGTTTTCTTTACATTAAAACATATTTGCTGTTAAAAATGATTATGACTGATATACTAAGCACTAGCAGAAGGTTTACCAATGGTCCCACACACACACACACGTACCGCTTACTTGAAGGTATCCATTAGAAAAGGGCTTTTAAAATCTCACAGTCGTAAGCACTTAAAACCATAGTGACTCTGTAGTTTGGATAAAGCACTTTAATAGCAGATGAATATTAGAAAGAAGACATGGCAATGCATGACAACAGTTAGTGTGTTACTTACATGAGCAACATTTGACACTCAGATTAAACTCAAAATTTGATATGTTTCTCTTCAAAAGCACTCTTCCCTGACACAACACTCAAGATTTCAAAAATAAAATCCCTTCCCTGGTATTGCAATTAAATAAATACCTAACACAAGCTAATGTAAGGAGCTGAGCTGGGCACTTCATTTGACCAGAAAAGAATCAATCACTCAAAACACATTTATGATAATGTTGTCATTCATTTCTTATATCAGGTCAGTTGACAAACCCCATTTCCCATCCTCATGCATGCCTTAAGAGTTATACACCATGGCAGACAGATAAATCTGATATATATCCAGTATATGTTTACATACATGTTACAGTATGTTAGTTGGCAAGTTGATCGATTTACGGTCCAGAAAGTCGAGCAAAGCTTGAATGTATAGCTTTATTACTGTACGCAACAATACTTTCAAACAACAAACATACAAAGAGTTAACTCTCTAGCTGAGAAGATATAATACAGTTAGAGTATTGACTTTAAAATCAAACAAAACCTCTCTTGTTCAGCTTACGTCTGCTGCAGTTATGTGAAGCTTAGTCTGCAAGGATTTATTTTGTTCAAAAAAAAAAAGAAAAAAGATGAATCTCTCAGCTGCATCCTCCTGACCGGTTCAATGATCCTTTTCAGAAGTCAAAAATAGCTTATAAAAATAATTGTATTTGTTTTGTTTTTTTCATGTGAGTGCACGTCACCCTAGCAATGCAGCATGTTTGACATGTTTGTACACCCTGAAACCTTCTGTATTCTACCCCTCCTTTTCTTCCTCTCGCTGACTGTGATTCAGAGTTGTGGCTGCTATCCAGCCCCTGGCTACTCTATCTGGGCTGATTTATGAGAGGCTTGCGTGAGATATGGAGCCACATTCAAATGTACCAGAGCACGCATATCAAAACTATGTAGCCAACTTCTCTGATTGAATAGAACAAGAAGGAAAACCAAAAACAAAAGATGATGAGGTGGTTTTTGACAGTTTTGAAGTAAAACATCACATATTTTTTGTTTTTTTTTTATCCCTGTCTTTGACCTTGACATGCTTGAACAGTAAATGTCTACAGTCTCTTCACTGTCCTAATGTAATGGCAAGGGTGTAAAAATGAACTGTCTTGAATATGTAACAGTAACCTATTGCAAGGAGCAGACACAGCAAGAGAGAAAAGGCAGCGCAGCAAACAGGTGATATGTGGAAAGAGACAAGATGGCAAAACCTCACAAAGAGAAAACAAACTCTGTACAGAAACAGAAACAAGTCAATACTGAGATTAAAAGAAGGTGCACATAAAACATTCCAAACCACAGAAACCTGGAGGAAGGCCTGCATGAGAATTGGAAAAAGCTGTTGTTTTTTTATGGAGTATGAAAGCACTGGCATATGGGAGGGTCAGGGGTCGATGCAAAAACCACATAGGAGGCAAGGAGCATCAGCACAGGCCATGCAAACACAGCTCCTCAATCTCCATAAGGTTGTCAGTCAAACATTTGGACCACACTGCATACAAAAAGCTATAGATGCCCGCCGCAGCTTTGTGAAACTGTGCCCTCGCAGGGTTCCTCTGTGGCTTCACAGGCATGGCGTTTTAGAGGTGGAAAGTAGGAAGAAGGAGTATCACGGTGGTGCATATATAGATATTTCCGATGGGGCTTTTTTTGTATTTTGTTTTCTTCCCGATACTTTTTGAGATTTTGTTTAGCATTGTTTTTCTGTCTAAAAAAGGCGTGCCTTCTTCTTCATGTCATTCTTCTTCCAGAGAGCCAGGCGGTCAAACTGCTCCAGGGTCATGCCGAACACTTGGTGAAAGTCCTCTGGAGATAGATGTCTCTGGATTAGGAAATTGTGGCAGAAAAAACATTGTTATTTAGAGTGGACAACAGTAATACCAGCAGCTTCTTGTGAACCTTATAACCAAAGGAAACACTGGTGGTGGTTGGCGTTTTAATGATAAAGAAGCAAAGTGGGTGACAAGATGTTCAGACATATTGACCACAACTGTACTTTTATTTATTTTGTACCATAAAGATCTTTAAACTCAGCAAAATAGTTGTCATATATTTGTTTTTCATCAACAGTTTCTTCCATTTGCACACTTTCTCTAAAATTATAAACTTTTTCTTTCAGAACGATACTGAAAAACTAGTTCATGCATATATTACTTCTAGCCTAGTGTATTCTATTCATTTATATCAAGATGTCCTAAAACTCCTTGAAAAGCCTTCAGTTGATCCTGCAGTAAGAGGACTGACAGGAACTAGAAAAAAAGCAGATTCTAACCATTTCGACTTCTCCTTATTGGCTCCCTGTTAAATCCAGAATTGTATTTAACCTCCTAGGACCTGGCGTCCACATATGTGAACATCACATTTTGGGTTATTTAGACCAAAATACTTAACCTTTCTCTACAGGGGCCTAATATCCACTTATGCGGACACTATACTGCTACTGTTCTATTGAAATTTTGAATGAATATCCTCATATGTGGCTCTGATTTTTCGTAGAAACAAAATTTAGGTAAAAAAAAAAATCTGGTAATTCGTTGTTTTTACATTCAACAGGTCCCAATCAGCCCAAATATCAAAGAGAAATTAATAATGCATGCCATGGAAGAGTTCGGGTCTTAGGAGGTTAAAATCACATAAAAAGTCTTGAATAATGAGAATAATCATCTTATCTTAAAGACCTTATAGTATCAATCATTCATTCTCAGACTGCAGAATTGTGGTTCAAAGGATATCTAAAAGTAGAATGGGACGCAGAGTCTTCTGCTTTCAGGTCTCTCTTCAGTGAAACTAGCTTCCAGTTGGGATCCAGTAAACAGACACCCTCTCTACTTTTAAAATTAGGCTTCAAACTTTCCTTTTTGCTGAAGCATATAGTTAGGGCCGGATCAGGTGACCCTGAATCCTCCCTTAGTTATGCTGTAATAGGTGTAGGCTGTTGGGTGACTCCCATGATGACCTTTTTTCACTTCCTACAAAAAAATAGAGTAACCTGTGTTGCTTGAACACATGTATCATTCAGAATTAAGGGTGCCTTCACAGCAGTGCAAGCTATGCAATGTGCTGCCATTGAGCTGCTCAAACTGATTAATCAATAGAACAATAAATTAATTTCTAACTGAAGCAGTACTATCTCTGGATCTTGGCCAGCATAATTTTTATTAATCTGTATCAGCTTCATGTCTAAGCCTGGACGCATATATTAGATGGACATCCTGACATGTCTGTGTTGTGCACACACAGTAAACAGGCATAATATTGCCTTCTGTCTTGATGTTTAATACAGTATTTTGAATTTTATCCCTTATAAGTTCTTCCAACCAAAACTCCTATCCTAAAACCTCATGTTGCCAACACTCACTAAGTTCTCTCTAAAAAACAGACACAAAAAAAGCGTAACAAAAACTTGCATGGCATTGATTTAAACCCAGAAACAGAGCGTAGGTAGCTTTAATATAAAATGTTTCCTGCACTGTGCACTGCAGGTGTGTGTTTTTTGTGATCAAACGGTAAATGGCCTGTATTTGTATAGCGCTTTTCTAGTCCCTAAGGACCCCAAAACGCTTTACACAACCAGTCATCCACCCACTGGCAAGCTACATTGTAGCCACAGCCACCCTGGGGCGCACTGACAGAGGCGAGGCTGCCGGACACTGGCGCCAAGTGTCTTGCCCAAGGACACAACGGCCGAGACTGTCCTAGCTGAGCTCGAACCAGCAATCTTCCGATTACAAGGCGAACTCCCAACTCTTGAACCACGATCGCCAACTATCAAGAGCTAGGTAAAGCTATTTCTGTGAAACAGCCAATCCCCTGGTTTATATCAGCAAACAGAAGGTTTGGTTTTCACCCCGAGGTAAAAATGTTCAGGTGCCTTAAATTTTTCACCTGCCAAATTGACAGGATAATGACACTGGTGGTATGAAAAAGGAGGATACTCTTCCCCATTTCATATCACAGTGTGTAACTGTAAAACCAATGACTCATGCCATTCAGTATGTTACACAACATGTTTTCTGTTAGCTGTCAGTAGCAAAACACCTGGTGTGACATCACTGAATGGTATTCTGCTAAAGAGGTTGAATCCAAAGACTTTCAGCTTTAATTCAACAACTTTAACACAAGTTTTGCTTCAACTGTTTCAAAATTACAGCCATTTTATACACATTCCCCCATTTCCAGAGGCTCAAGAGTAGCTGGACAACTGCAAGTAGTTTAATGGCCAAGTGAGGCCTATTTCCTTGTAATTGTATAACAAGATCGTATAATCTGGAGATTATGATGAGAATTGTATTTTGTAGCTTTTTGCTGAAATGTCAGTATGAGGTCCAAAGAAATGATTATGATGAAAGAGATGGAAGTTATCTTTTGGTGAAAAAACCAAATTCCACCTCTCAGAGAGGCTGCAAAAACTTTGGTTTTTAGAAAACATGAAGAAAAGAGAGAAACAGCTCATGACCTGAAACATACCACGTGATCTGTCAAACACAGTGGAGGTTATGGCATAGCCATGTATAGCTGCCAATGGAACCAGGAAATAGTATTTATTGATGACATGACTGCTGATAGAAGTAGCCAGATTATTCTGAGGTGTATAGGACTACACTCTCTGCCCAAGGATACTCTGGCATTTATACTGGAGCAGCATGAGATCAAACCAGACACCTTCCAATTACTGGCTGACCTACCTCCTGGGCTATAGCCACTCCAACATGGACCTAACTGTGCGGGTTTACACTTTAACGGGCATCCTTACAGAGGGTCACACACTAGCTAAATAACAGAGTCATCAGTGTTTATCCAGATAATACATGAGCAAATATATCTGGAGGCCTATTTGGGGTTGGCTTTGGCTTAGGAGGTGAAGTGAGTCGTCTGCTATTTGGAAGGTCAGTGGCTCGATGCCCCAGCTCCTCCAGTCTGCATTCTTCAGTTATGAGTGCTTAGGCATAAAAAAAAAAGACTTGCATGAATGTGTGGGTGAATTAGCTTTGAGTGCCCAAATGGAAAAGTGCTACTATCCATTTATTTACTATTTCAAAGAACTTGGAACTCCTTTTTCTTGCATTTCTATAATTTTTATATAGCCTGGACTTCAGTTTGTGCTCCTAAATTTACGATTTCCGTGGCACAAGAACTACATGCGGTGTGTACTTACATCTTTTACTTTTCATTAAGACTACAAGCAAAGTTAAATTAAATCAAAATAAATTTAAAGCAATTAAAAACCTGTCAGTTTGAGGTGTTGCATGGGTCAGGTAGCTTAATTGACCTAATCACAACAGGCTTATTGATGTGAGTTTGAGCCTTTAATTATGTGCAATATTTTTGTTAAATATATTTAACCTCCTAGGACCTGGCGTCCACATATGTGGACATCACATTTTGGGTTATTTAGACTAAAATACTCAATTTTGCTCTACACGGGCCTGATATCTACTTACGAGGACATTGTAGTGCTACTGTTTAATGAACATTTTAGATGAATATCCTCATATGTGGCTCTTATTTTTCTTAAAAACAAAAATAAGGTAAAAAAAAAATCTGGTAATTCTTTGTTTTTACATTCATCGGGCCCCAATCAGCCCAAATATCACAGAGAAATTAATAATGCATGTCGTGGAAGAGTTCGGGTCTTAGGAGGTTAAAGAAAGAACATTAATATTCTTTACAATGATTCTCTGTATTTTCAGAAATAAATAAATGGAAAATACTTTAAATATTTGGCTACAATAATAGTAAAAGGTACTTAATATAGCAACCCAAGCTTCAAGAGCGACTAGCCGAAAAGACACATTTTACAGGCAGTGTATGGTTTAAACGTGCATAAGAATAGTTTTCTTTGTTTTTTTTCCCTTTTCACTTTTATATGTTTCCATCATATAAAAATTGACTTTTTAGCTGCTGATTAGTATGGCTAAACCTAAAACAGTTAGGGGTCAAGGATCAGTGGTGGGTAAAACGCAGGTCAAACAGTTTCTCTTCTGCACACACTTTTGACAATAGGACTCCAGTCTGGTATTTCCAACCACAGAGGGAATCTCTTGAGTATCCTCAGTAACCTCAATATGGTCAGACTCCACTTGGGACAATATTTCTGTTAACTGAAAGCCTCACAGTGAACTCTCATAGTGGGGTTACTGAAGACTGAAATGTTTCAGAGGATGTTTTTTAGACAAAACCTCTCTTCCGAGGACTGCAAAACATGAGCTCTGCACCACAACACAAACCACAATTGGATTTTTTTTAAATGGGTTCTTTTAGAGACAAAAACAGTTCATTTTTTTCAGCTGCTCAAACTTAATGAAAGTTTTGAATCTTTAAATGGGTTGTGTAATAATAACAGCAGCAGGAAATTGGTTATTCTGGGACATTAAGTCCAATTTCACTTTATTTCTTTATTATAGTTATAGGACATATATGTGTGTTAAACTTGCTGTGACCTGGCACCAAATTAAATTAAACTACTGCAAATTATACTTATATTTCTCATAAAATCCCCAGATGTACTCTACTATGCAGATTATTTCTTTAACTTGAAGAATTTTCTTGCAGAGGCCAAATAAATAAAGACTTCCATTACATTTATATATAAATGCTGAAGATGTCTTTTTAAAAATCTAAACATTAATAAACCGATGTTGCAGATCTGTCTCCTCTGGTTTCTGATTTTTCACCAGATTTTAAAACCTATCAGCAGCCACAAAATCAAGGTCGGACTGTGCATGTCATTCGTCTTTTTCTCAGCCATACTGGCTCTGGCTTTGGCAGAGTGTTAATGACAGGCATGGCATGTTTGTTTCAAAGATTCATTTGTTTAATTCATCAGTCTTTATGTGTCTCTGTAGTAGTGTTCTGCTTCCTAGTTACCAAAAATAAAAAAAATATAGGTTGATGTTTAAAAAAAAAATCAAGAAAGAGGCATATATCCCTATATTCCACTATTTCACAGATTTCTGTCTGCAGACATAGACTGTATATAAAACAAGACCTTAACCTGTTTCTAAAAGTCATCACTGGGGATGTGCCCAGCCCTAACCGTATGTTTTAGAGAAAAGCAAAAAATTACTATTTTAGAAAAAGTATAACTAGTTTTTCTTCTGTGTCAATTACAACAATTACTTACTTTGTCTTGGAGAACAGTTTTACTCTCTGAGGTCTATATCATCACTGATAAAGACTCTAACCTTCATCCCTATCATTCTAATGGACACAAATCAAAATCTACACATATTTTTTTCCCCAAAAGAGTAGTTTTTGGTTGTCTAAAAGAGGGTTAGTGTGAGTGTTTGAAGCTAGGATTTAGGTAATTATTGATCATGACTCGGACTCCAAAGAAGTAAATAAATACAATTATGTATCCTGATAGCAAATACACACACTTCATTTACCGTAAGTTACATTTTACTTCACTTCACTTCTAAGCGCCTTTTGTATTTTAGCATACAATGTGTATACTAAGAGAAATCCCAAAATAGTTTATTTATTGTTTATTCACCACTTAAGTGATTGAAGATGGCACCTCTATAAGCTTTTGCTGATACTTTTATCCCAATGGCTGAGCTGCCTAGCTCCTACCCAAACCACAAATTCTTGACTTGACAAAATTCTGTAAGCCAAAATTTCATATTTTCTCAGGTTTGTTAACGACCTACGGATAGAAGGAGGGAAACAACAGAGGGGAAAGTAAGATTAGAGCTCACCTCCAGTCTGGTGCGGTCTACATCTCTGGGAAGCTTCACTTTCACTCTATGCGTCACTGCCAGCATTTCATAAGGGTAGACCTGGCAACACAAAGTAAGCATTGTGGGAGATTTATTAGGGAATACAATTATAATCCAATGTCCTAACAGTGCTGCCAAGAATATGAAAGTATATTTGCAAAGTGGGAGCAAACTCTTACCTTGTACTCTGAGGAGGGAAAAGACAGAGACAGAAGACATTACTCTGGTGGAACAGTTATCTTTTATTTGAATTCAGAGCTATTATAAAAGCTAGCATAAGTGAGCTTAAAAATAAATTACACTTGCGAACCCAAATCTCTTCAAAAATATTGGGTTTCAAAGGCGTCAAAAAGCATTAGAAATGGTCGCTCTGCTCACACACACAGACTGTTAAGAGGTTGGAATACTTTCAACTCAATCTTTGCCTCAGATACAGCCAAGACCGTACACGCACGCACTGGTAAACACACAGCACTAATTTTTCGAGCTGGAAAAATGACATCATCCTTCCTCGCTCTTACTTCTTGTAACTGATCTGGAGCCAAAGCAACAGGGCTCTGCATGCTTGATCGCAACATATATGTAATGTTATCAGGCATTGTAAAAATAACCTTGATCTGACTCATAGAAAGATGATATGGTCCATTTAGTGTCATTTTATAGCTTGGCTAATATTTTTTAGAAGGAAACATTCAGTTTTGGGGATGGAGCCTGTGAGATTTTGCAACAGTGAATTAGCAACGTGAAAACTGCATTTAAAACAATCAGATAACGCGCATTTAGTAGGGTTAGGTTAATTGGTTAACTTGTGAATAGTGATTGTCTGGCTGTCTGTATTAGCCCTGCAACAGACCCTGTTCAGGGTGTGACCTGCCTCTTGCCCTATGGAGGATGGGATAGGCTCCAAACAACCCCCACGTCCACTGTATCCACCTACATGCTGTTCTCATGTAAGAGAACAACTACAATACCGAAATTCTATTTTAGGTGAATCATCTAGTAATCAGATGACACTTCCTTAACACCTTTATTTAAAAAGTTTTTAAATTCCCAAAGCCAGGCTGTATTCAAAAGCAGATTTACAAGTTAATGAATGCACTCTTTACAGGAAAGAAGATTTTGAATTTATTTCTAAATTAGTCCTCAAAGTTAAAATAGCAAGTTTCAGCTTCACTCAGATGTTATTAACTGTCAAAAACAGGGAAAATAAATTTTCATAAATTTGCCAGGATGACTCGCTGGTTGTTTTTTTCAAGCAAAACTCAGATAATTTATGTGGTTCCCCAAACTTAGAGGATAGAAAGCATATTAAACGTGTTAATGAACAGACTGAGAATACCAACAGAGACCAAGAGACACCTTGGTATTTTCCATGCTGATGCTAAGCTAGCCCTAGACTGTAAAGAGGATGTTGAGCTGTAGCCTGGTCAGAATGAGTAAGGTGAGAAAGGTGAGAGAACTGTCATACTACTAACCCCTTCCAGTATGGTAGTCTTGGTTGGTATATGATCGTGCATGGTTAAAAAAGACACTATAGACTGCACTGGGTGTAATGTGCTATGCTGTATATGAGTGTTTTGCTGATAAAACCTTTAAAAACTTGATGAGAACTGAAGATACATGTCCGCTCTCACCTCTCATGCCTCCCCAGCTCTGGGAGTCTGGGTCCACTTCATCCTCCATCATCTCAGCAGCCTGCGGGCACACACACATTAAACAAACACAGAGTTAGACCATAATTCAGATATTCTGTGTCATTCCGCCAAGAACACTGCTGCTCTTTATCAAAGCAAGGGTTCATCTGAAAGCCTTTTAGTAAAAGCTGTTGCCCTTGATTTGCTCACATTCTTTCAGAGTTAGCAACGGGAAGTGGATGTGACACGTCTGATAGGGAGTTTGGATTACATTGCTCAGAGAGACTGAAAGCCAACTGATGAGACAAGGAGGGACCGATATTGTAAAGTCTCTGCTGTTTGTCCAGTAATCCATTTTCTAGTGTTAAAACTAGTGAAAAACAAATACTATTCTTTAAAATAAGAAAAATAATTTTTGAAAATAAATCGGTATTCATGGAGCTGAACTGGCAGGGATATTGATATACGATATACACATAAGTGGTAACTGGTGTGAAATGTGAGTGTGAATGGTTGTCTATCTCACTGTAGTAGCCCTGCAACACACAAGCTAAGGGCAGACCACACCATCTAACATCTGACACAAGTAACTAGTTAATTAGCTATCTTGCCTGCCAGGAAGCTAATGGTTCCATGTTAAATTTGTCTCCATGCAACAACATGAAATGCAATATATGCCCTACCATCATGCTTGCAAAGTGGAAAAATATGGTATGGTAGCTAGAAAACTAATATACAGTGTACAGAGAATTTCTTGGTGTCTGTAACTAAACCAAGAGTCAGCCTAAACATCTGAGAAATCAAGCCAAGACAGTATTGCTTGAAGTATCTGGCAGTTCCTAAAATGACCAATTGAGACTCGCTCCAAAGCACAAAGTCTTAAAACTATCATTTAGGAATTATGGTCCAAGGAAAGAGACAAGCAGCCCAAGCATTTACTCAGCCTCTAAAGGTTCCCACCCTGATCTCATTGGGATGTGCCGTAAGACGCCTAATCTATCACTATTAGCTCCCTTGGTACCAGACATCAAAGGTCAACCTCTCCAGGTCTCAAGTTCATTCCTCAACAAGTCAGATCTATTTAGCTACATAAGTAGTGTCCACATAATATTTGGCATGTAGCTTAGTTAAAGATCAGTCTTTTGTCTCATAAAAAACTCTACAGAGGAATATAAAAGCTATATTCCCATAATGCAACGTACAGATGCCAAGATGCTTCTATCTTGCCAGGATATTGAAACTCCTTGGATGCTTTGCATTAGCTTACTATGGTCTGTCAAAGATGATTAGAGTATGACAGGTAACTATTAAATATTCAGTATTGGAATTCCTATCCTCTCTCCTGAATGCTTTGATATCATGAAATCTTTCCTACTTATGTGTCACCTCTTTTATGTGCATTATGTTCCCGAGAGAGGTTTGTGTACAGTGAGCATTGTATCCCAGCTGTTCTCTACCAACAAGACGATATCATCATCAGAACAAACTTCATTGCCATTCTGTGATCCTGGGGTCACTAGTCTGTGTTAATGGTGTTATTACTACCATTGGCTGTTTATGCAACTGCAGGTAGTTCAGGTTTACCATCCCCAAGAGCCTCAACTACCTTTATTTCTGAGCTATCCGGTTATTCAGTCTGACGTCACTAGCCGTGTCTGGGCCTAAACCTGCTGCAGTCCATATACAGTGGGGCAAAAAAGTATTTAGTCAGCCACCGATTGTGCAAGTTCCCCCACTTAAAATGATGACAGAGGTCAGTAATTTGCACCAGAGGTACACTTCAACTGTGAGAGACAGAATGTGAAAAAAAAATCCATGAATCCACATGGTAGGATTTGTAAAGAATTTATTCGTAAATCAGGGTGGAAAATAAGTATTTGGTCACCTCAAACAAGGAAAATCTCTGGCTCTCACAGACCTGTAACGTCTTCTGTAAGAAGCTTTTCTGTCCCCCACTCGTTACCTGTATGAATGGCACCTGTTTGAACTCATCATCTGTATAAAAGACACCTGTCCACAGCCTCAAACAGTCAGACTCCAAACTCCGCCATGGCCAAGACCAAAGAGCTTTCGAAGGACACCAGGAAAAGTATTGTAGACCTGCACCAGACTGGGAAGAGTGAATCTACAATAGGCAAGCAGCTTGGTGTGAAAAAATCAACTGTGGGAGCAATCATCAGAAAATGGAAGACATACAAGACCACTGATAATCTCCCTCGATCTGGGGCTCCACGCAAGATCTCATCCCGTGGGGTCAAAATGATCATGAGAACGGTGAGCAAAGATCCCAGAACCACACGGGGGGACCTGGTGAATGACCTGCAGAGAGCTGGGACCAAAGTAACAAAGGTCACCATCAGTAACACACTACAACGGCAGGGAATCAAATCCCGCAGTGCCAGACGTGTTCCGCTGCTGAAGCCAGTGCATGTCCAGGCCCGTCTGAAGTTTGCCAGAGAGCACATGGATGATACAGCAGAGGATTGGGAGAATGTCATGTGGTCAGATGAAACCAAAGTAGAACTTTTTGGTATAAACTCAACTCGTCGTGTTTGGAGGAAGAAGAATACTGAGTTGCATCCCAAGAACACCATACCTACTGTGAAGCATGGGGGTGGAAACATCATGCTATGGGGCTGTTTTTCTGCCAAGGGGACAGGACGACTGATCTCGTGTTAAGGACAGAATGAATGGGGCCATGTATCGTGAGATTTTGAGCCAAAACCTCCTTCCATCAGTGAGAACTTTGAAGATGAAACAGGCGAGGTCTCCAAGCATATCAAACATTTGAAAGTCCTGGAGTGGCCTAGCCAGTCTCCAGACCTCAACCCCATAGAAAATCTGTGGCGGGAGTTGAAAGTCCGTGTTGCTCGGCGACAGCCCCAAAACATCACTGCTCTCGAGAAGATCTGCATGGAGGAATGGGCCAAAATACCAGCTACTGTGTGTGCAAACCTGGTAAAGACCTATAGTAAACGTTTGACCTCTGTTATTGCCAACAAAGGTTATGTTACAAAGTATTGAGTTGTATTTTTGTTATTGACCAAATACTTATTTTCCACCCTGATTTACGAATAAATTCTTTACAAATCCTACCATGTGGATTCATGGATTTTTTTTTTCACATTCTGTCTCTCACAGTTGAAGTGTACCTCTGGTGCAAATTACTGACCTCTGTCATCATTTTAGGTGGGGGAACTTGCACAATCGGTGGCTGACTAAATACTTTTTTGCCCCTGTATACGATCACTATGGCATTACTGAGAGTTGAAAAACTGTCTAAAGTCTTTCATCTTTAATAAAATGATCAGCGTTCTGCTCTACCAGGTGTAACAATTGAGTTTAACATCCAGGCATCCATGAAAACGGAATTTATGACATTTAACGGAGTTAGAAGTTAGCAGGAAGTTAGCTCGCTAGCTTCTATCTAAATACAATATAGCATGTCCTGACTGCGGGGTTTTGGAAACAAATTAAAACGTACAGCTCTGTATCACTTCCAACATAAATGAAGACAGAAAACTAAACAGCAGTGACGTTTGTAGGGTTACTGAAGTTTGGCTAGCTGGTATATAATGATGTGCTACGTGACCGCTAGCGACACAGCTATGTTAGCATAATATAAACAAGCTAACTTTTTTTCCACTCGATAAAAGTTAACGTGAGTGTTCTCGGTGGTCAGGAACAAATGTAATCGCATGGCAGGATGCTGTAAAAGGACCAAACTTCAGCCAGGAGAACAACTGAGATAATCCATCCACAATACGAGGTTAGTCATTCATATACTGCTGCATGGGCTGGGCTGTAGTTACATCCTAAGGTTTTAAAAACTGAGCTTAAATAAATGATTAGCGGTAATAAAAGCCGAGGGAGGTCAACAGTGATCACTGACTGTTTTAGGAGCTTTTTGAGATTAAATAGAAGAAAATACATAACATTAAACATGTTAACAACACAAAAGCCATATTAAACGCAGACTACTTTAGACCCGGAAGTAGGATTCGTCACGTCATCACTTAATAATCGGATTCTTTGTCCCTTGTGTCCCTCTACACTCCTTGGGGATTGTCCATACTGACTCTCACAGCTCCCCCTTTTCTGCAGAATTTTTGTTACTGTTAGACTGCTTCAACATCACTCAGCATGTTAAAGACACCACGCTCGGACCAGAGGTAACTTCGTCAGACTTGCACTGTTGTTAACCCTGCCAGCTGCAATCATCATGCATTTTTTTCTCTGTTCTTATAACTCTGTGCAGGCAGTGTGTCAAGCGTACCATCTCATCCAAGTCTCTTTATACATCTGGCCTCACTGTGCACCACTAAACTCTCCAATCAGCCGATGATAGTAAGTCTCATTCACTTGATTGTACTTGTAGCACACTAGATCCACCATGTTAACAATAATTTCAGCATGTGAAAAATAGTTCAATATAGTTTGCCATGACTCTATTGTGGCTCTTGAGCTTTCATTTCCTCTTCTGTTCTGTTTTGTCTGCCTGTCCTCTATCCATCAACAAACATCGAGGGAGAGCAGCTATATTGCATCAGTGGCTCATAGACTACCCCCAAAGTCCTAAATAAACCAGAGCACTGCCTGTGTGGACTGAATGGTACTGACTGGCCCTGTGAAATTTGATACCAAAGCTGTGGGGAAAGGGAGGTTGATTTTTAAGGTAGAGCAAAACATTTAAATGGTTTATATGCTACTCTGAGGTTTCCTGAGTTGATTAGTAGTGAGTGGGAGGCTATACAAGGCTGGAAAGTGTTGGTTTGATAGAGCCATGGTGTTATCACATAGAAATGGAGACCCTGAATGGGAAACAGCACCAGCTAGTGGTCTAAATGGCAAAAGCTGTCAGATCCAGACATCTATTTGTTCTATATTTGCTCAATTAAACTATAGTAGAAACAGGATGGCAACTTCATTGCAAGTAGGAGCCATTGTTGGTACTGATTTGAATGCATTTTTTCAAATCTGGTCACTGATCACAAGTAGTTGTGGTGACTGCAATGTGAAGTGTTTGCCAGGTTGCCTGGTAGAAGGCAAGTTGTCTCTAAACAACTATGCTCCGACTTGAGCCGACTGCAGTCAGTATCAGAACCATTGACAAGGTTTTGAAAATTACTGCTTTAATTTAAAAACACAAACAGAATTCCAACACGTTATAGTTAATCTGAGTCATTCTGTGCCAGTAAGCGCAGCTTGTCTGTTTTACCTCTCTTTGCCAGAGGGGACTTGAGTCAGCTGGTATTCCTACATACAAGCAAAGTCTGTCATTTCACAGTTACTGTCACTATTTGCGAAGGAAATTCTGTTTCAGATCTGTGAAAATTTCACTGATCACTGAACGTAAGTAGTTAATGTGAATTTGTGTGCATGAAATTTGCAACAGACGGTAAAATATTTGTGATTTTTGCTGATTTATCCCAGTCACCATAGTGAGGCACAAAAATAGCTTTGAAGACAGCAATGACTGCGAGTGGTCACAAACCTGGTCTCCATTTTCGAAGTAACCACTTGAAAGGCAACAAAACTGCAAGTGTATTGCACATTGCCACAGTAATTCTGGTCATGCTCCAGTCTCCAATCACTGTTTTCCCTAGTGCGACTGTAGCGTTAATGAAGCACCAAACTATGGTGAGGACATCTCATCTGTAAATGTGAATTGGTTTGGTGCTAGGCATTAACCGTTAACTGTTCAGTGTTCAGAGTTTCCAGTGCTAAGTCTCAGTAACACAGGTCCTGTTAAAAAATTAAACCTGACTTTCTTAGACACTTTTAAAATAAGATCTTTGGCTGATCTACCAAAGATCTGAGATTGTGCATCTTGGTGGCCATTCTATATCAGAATCTGTCTGCTCACCTTGTAGATGCCGTTTCTTCCATAGCCAGGTAAAGATGCAGACTTATTGTAAGGGAAATCTAAAAAAAAGCAAAGACAATTATTTTCATTTATGTCAGCTCTAGTTCAGCATCTGGCTTGTTAATAGATACTCACTAGGTTGGGAAGTGTCAGTGGGCAGACTGCAGGTTGATTTGCGGGGGTCGATGTCAATCTGACCATCAATCTCACTCTTCAAAATCATCCAACTGGTCCTCTACAAGGAGAAAGTAAGAGACAGAGAGAAAAGGACAGAAAGATGGAAAGAGGTGATGGATGATGGCAAAGTATGAGTTAGTAAATTAGTGAATGGATGTACAACATTTGTAAAGTTTAAGAAAATGACTTGAAGAGAGACAGATATGGAAAGACGGATAAAGACAGAAACTGTACACACAGACCCACCTTGCTATCCTCACCATCCTGCCAAGATGTTCTAGAAGCTGTAAAACAGTCAGATGTTACATGACGTGACAGTTAATGTGCTGGATTATCTCTCTCTCGGCTCCCTTGTGCTGCACTATTAACACCAATAGTAATCCCTGGACCCCTTGCATGACATCATCGGCCACAGAGAGCATCCACAGGGAGCTCCACAAGCACAATGTTACAAAAATGGAGAAAATTCATACTTTAACTAAAGGATTACACTGTACACCGTGGGACATTGGCTTGTTGGCCATCTACAAGTCTAGTCACCATAAAACTCTGTATGTATATCCCTTGTCTCACGAGGATAGATAGAAATGGCTAGATCTGACCCCCAAAAGCATTTCTTTTACATTTATAACCAGTTTGCTAAATGACAGATGACCATGAACTCTCCTGTGAATCATTACTGTGCCAGAAGAGAATCGTAATGTTGCTTTGACAATCTATCTTACTCAAGAACCAAACTTCAGCTTTCAAATTTATGTGTCAATGGCCAAGGGCAACAATTTCCTCTAAAGAATCAACTCTTTGTATTTGGTGAATTTAATTTTCCAGTCCTGTAGTTAATACTGAAATAAATAAACCGTCATCTGGAAGCAAAACACAAAGTGCAACATTATTTTATTACTTTTACTTATAAGTAATAGTATTGTTATATATTTATCCTTAATCTCTCTGTTAACGATTTCACAATTCTGAAAAAAGCAACGCCGAATAGCAAAACTTTCAACATGACCTCTGTCAGAAAGGGCTTGGGACCAATTGGCAACCTCCTGGCAATCACAGATTGCTTGGGAAAAATATCTATTGGAGAATAGTTAGTGGAGGCTGCTGTTAGAGACTCAAAAACAGGTGCAACACAAACCAGAATCAAAAGAACTTCGCAGTAAAAGTTAAAACTGTGACGCACAACTTTTACTCTAAAGGCAAACATTCTCTTTTTATTATTTGCGTCACACTTATTATCTCTGCGCTAGTGTTTTCATAAAATTTCATCTTGGTTGGCAGGGCCATAAAAGATGGTATCTAAGCCAGTGTGACTGAGGTCATAGTGAGGAACAGGCTAGTAGCTGTTTTATTAGAATGCATTGCAACACAAGACAATTTCAGGAGTATAGGCACTTGATAGCCCAATGCAGTGTTAATTAATGTACATCTTCAGGTTGTGGGGCCAAGAGAAACTAAAGCTTAAAATGTGTTGGTCACAGCCTTGTTGTAAACTTATCATATTAGCATGTGGAGCTATTTGTGATGTTTCTGACATACTGACATTATGATGTTAAGTGAATTCATACGCAAGAGTGTGTAAAACATTAAAACTTTAGAGATGACCCCTAAAAAATCTGGATCCAATTCCCACAAAGTAGGTGTAGCCCACTGAAAATGAACTTAAGCTAAAACACATCACACGTTTAAAGGCAGTTAGGAGATCAGTAAAGTTGTTTTTCTTTTTTTGGCAAACAGTACACTTTGTCAGTGATCTAATGTCTGCTTGAATGCTTCCAATCTAGCTGTCAAAAGCCAGCTCAGTTGATTTACATGTCACTGTTACTTGTTGATAGTGATGATGATATCCTTGTGTGGTAGTGGTGACATTAGCTCCTTGGAGTCCCGTGTTCATGCATTTTGGGTGACCCTGTGAAGTTAGACTAGATTTCTTAAAGTATGCAACATAGTCTAGAGTTACTAGAAGTGTAGACCAAAAATATAATTTAGGTACACAACACAATGATTAGGGTAGAGACACACAGAGACACGTCACCATACTAACCGAACAGACTAACACAACGTGATTCATGTGCCTGACCATTCACAGTGTACACACAGTTACAGCATCACCAATGAAACCAACCAATGAGCTGGTGGAATGAGTGCACACATGCAGGAACAGGATGAGCAAAAAACACCCATGGGCCCAAATCCCAAACAGCTCCACTCCCACATAGTTCGGATTAGGAAGATGAATAATCAATGTTTCACTGTGTGAGATATTGAAATTAGGGGTATTTCTAAAATTGGTAAAAAAAATAAATTATAACATTGTGAAACAATGTTACCTACAGACCCCAAACGAGAGAGAACCTGACATATACTGAACAATGTTGATTTAGCAAATGTGTATATATGTTTGATCGGGACTCCCCGATATTTAACCAGAGATGGGCAGTAACGTGTAACCCAATTACTTTTTTCAAGTAACGAGTAAAGTAAGGGTAAAGTAAGGGATTACTACTACTGTTACTTTCCCCTAAGCATGCTGCATTACTGCATCACTAAACTGAGTTTGTTTGTGAGAGTGTCTCATGACAATGATGCACGAACATGCAACGTCCGTGGTAACAGACGTGCGCAGATCAACAATGGAGTGCGTGGAAGTACTGATATTACTTTGAGTTTGATTTCGTGAAAAGTGACAAAAACATTAGTGTACACTCTGCGTGGGAAGAAAACCTCTTTCTACAGCGAAAAATTAAACTTCAAATCTGAGCGAGGACCAAGCACGCTGCCACGGGAATGTGAAATTCAGAGAGAAATCCCCGGATCCCGCCCATTGACACGTCCTGCTAAACTCCTGTAGCTCAGGTGGCAGAGCAGGTCAGCCACTAATCAGAAGGTCGGTGGTTCGATCCCAGGCTGCATCCTGGCTGCATGCCAAATATCCTTGGGCAAGATACTAACCCCATGTTTGCCTACTGGTGGTGGTCAGAGGGCCCGGTGGCGCCTGTGTCCGGCAGCCTCGCCTCTGTCAGTGCGCCCCAGGGCAGCTGTGGCTACAATGTAGCTTGCCATCGCCAGTGTGTGAATGTGTGTGTGAATGGGTGAATGACTGAATGTAGTGTAAAGCGCTTTGGGGTCCTATGGACTAGAAAAGCGCTATACAAATGCAGGCCATTTACCATTTAAACAGATGAAAATTGATTAGGAGCGACAGGACTCTTTGATTGATGTATTTTTTTGCTGTGTTTTACTTGCATCTATTTGAAAGAGTGAGTATAAACATAAAAAATTATTTTTTTTATATGCTGGAATATGCAGAAAATAGGTTTAAATGTTAAACAATTTCTTCCAGTCAAAGACTGTTGCATATAATTTTTTTGCTTGATGCAATGTGCAAAAGTTAAAAGATTAAAACTAATAAAACAAGTTTTAAAAGAGACTTTTTCATTTGATTAATTTTGTATGATGGATTATGCAGAAAAAATAGAATTGGGCTGAAAGGTCTATTGCTTTATTACCTATTCAGAGTGTTTTTTTTTAAAGTAACTAAGTAAGTAAATAAGTAGTAAAGTAACTAATCACTTTTTTCAAGTAACTTGACCAACACTGTATTTAACATACTCTATCCTTTAGGTGCCAGTACCATCATTAAATGGGATAGTTCCCAAAAGCCTGCGGTAAATGATTTCGTTAACAGTGAACACAAGTCATAGAAGTTTTTAAGCAATTTTAGGCAAACATGTTAGCATATTCTGAAACGCTGGCTAACATAGAGAGGTACATTAAATACTTGTTTCTCCTTAAAGGAACAAAAAGTAACAGAATAATGGAGAAAGGCATTCAAACTATATAGAAACTAAACAGTAAATATCCAGAATAATAAATTATCCTAAATCATACATTTAATTTTTTGTTTGACATTTCAGCAGGAATTTTATCTGTTGTGTTGCAATGAAATGCAAACTGCACTGTTCATGACCAGAGATGGGCAGTAACGCGTTACTGTAATCTGATTACTTTTTTCAAGTAACGAGTAAAGTAAGGGATTACTATTGCAAAAACGGTAATTAGATTACCGTTACTTTCCCGTAGGAACGCTGCGTTACTGCGTTACTAAAACCGTGATTTTTTTGCGAGAATGTCTCACGACAGTGACGTAAGCGAGTGCGCTGTTAGTGACAACAGCTGTGTGCAGATCAACAATGGATCACATATCGATTGTGGGAGAGAGTATGAGCGTGCAGCGTTTAAAGCGTGGAAGTACTGACCTTACTTTGAGTTTGATTCCATAAAAAGTGACAAAAACATTAGCGTCCATCGTGCGTGGGAAGAAAACTTCTTTTTACAGCGAAAAAAACCCCTAAACTTCCAAGCAAGCACCGAGTGCGCAACGACGTAATGGGAAACTCACAGAGAAACTCGCGGATTCTTCAACTGACCGCGGCACACCTGCACCAGGGTAAACCTCCGCCTACCGCAGTCCTGCTTTACAGGTGAAAATAGAGCAACAGGACCGCTGAGTCTTTGATTTTATTTATTTTCTGCTGTGTTTTACTTGCATCTATTTGAAAGAGTGAGTGTAAACACAAAAAATATTTTATTTTATGTGCTGGAATGTGCAGAAAATAGGTTTAAATGTTAAACAAATTTCTTCCAGTCAGAGAATGTTGCATATAATTAAATTTTTGCTTGATGCATAAAGTTAAAAGATTAAAACTAATAAAACAAGTTTTAAAAAGAGACTTTTCCATTTGATTACATTTTGTATGATGGATTATGCAGAAAAAGTAGAATTGGGCTGAAAGATCTATCGCTTTATCACCTATTCAGGTTGTAAATCGTGTTTTTAAAAAGTAACTAAGTAACTAATTACTTTTGAAAATAAGTAATCAGTAAAGTAACGGGATTACTTTTTTGGGGAAGTAATCAGTAATTAGTTACTGATTACTTTTTTCAAGTAACTTGACCAACACTGTTCATGACACACTGCTTGGATTACAGGAATTCTCTGGGATCCACTGCAATATTCTGCATCTGTAAGCCTTTAAACTAAGAGACGTGTCATCCACACCTTTACACTGCAGAATATCCGATTCGGTTTTAGTAAAAGCAAGGCCATCTGCTCTCAGAGAAGGGTCATACTGTAGGTAGCATCATGTAACTCACACCTAAAATGTTTGATCAGAAACTTTGAGGGTTTTTTTAAATGATTATTATATTTTGTTGTTAAATTGCCATAGCATTGCCCACCATCCAATTGTTCAACAATCATGGATTCTGGGTGAAGTACACCAGTTCTATGCATGTAGATCCATAGAGCCTTCTAGACAAGCGCAGTTCTTAGAACATAAAGGAGGAGAACTGGAATGAATGACGTGACTGACGGGCAGCATGCAACACATCGTGCAGAGACCAGACCAGATAAAGAAGCGTTAAGGACGAAGTGGACTGTACCATGCTGTTTGTAGATGGGGGGTTTTCTATAGATATTATCTTTGACCATAGTCTCTGAAGATGGGAACAGAGCAGAAGAAAGAAAATGGAAGAAGCCAACATGGGCAGGGTAGAGAAAGAAAGAGAAAATGGAGAAAAAGAAGCATGAGTTAGCAGTTATTGCGGGATGAGATATATTTAAGAAGCAAACGGGGGAACAGGAAAGCTGATTCAACACAAGTCATTTGTCATTTTCATTTTGGCACCTCAAATAAATCAGCAATTTTAAATTCATGCAACATATTCAAAACACATAAATTTATTGGGAATGGCGGGTCATTTGATGCAGAACAATTGAATGATACTGAAAGATTAAAATCAGCAGCCACACATAATCCTCTGGCATCAAAAAGTCCACTTGTATTAGCAGATTTGAGAAAATGTCAAATAAAATCATTAAAAAATGGCATCTAAATTAATAACATAAACATTAAACATAAGCCCAAAGTTGAAGGTTTGTTCAAGAATTCTTGCAAACACTGCAGTGCTCGATAAAGGACCTCTGCAGAATGATGAGGACTGTGTGTTATCCCCTAAAGCTGATCTAATCCATCTTAGTGTCAGTGAACCTGTCTAGGCCTCTGATGGAGATGCTTAGTAACGACTGTCACACATTAAGACACGGCAGAAACAGGACTCACAATAAAACAACAGATGCTGGTCATTTCTCTGGATTGTTTCAGTGCCTGTCAGCATTTGAAACAATATCCATATAAAAGCAATGACTGTGAAAGCCATGAAGTGGATAACTTGCTTCCAGCATGAGGGGTTTTTCCCCCTTCTCCATGACTGACAGTATAATTGACAATGGGAATTATTTTTCTATTTCCCTCTTTGAGAAACAGCGAAGACAACACAGTTAAAATGTTACTGCTTTTCCAAATGTTGGGCTCTTGTGTCACTGCTGTTTGATTATTTCTGTGCAGTTATTCTGAAATTAGTAAACAGTAAGAACACTGTGAATTAAAGTCCAAGAGCCTAACAGAACATAAAGAAGTAATGTGCTAAAATAGTCTGCATGAAAAAACCATAATAATCCTGTGAAAATTATAATTAGTGTCTCTCTTATGAGTAAGAAGAATCTTGCCAATGTTACCAATTGCCTGGTCCTCAAAGCCTTCCGTCCAGGTAAAGACAAACTTTCCTCTGCTGTGATGGATTTCTTTGAACTCATGTATGAAATAACTGGAAATGAAACTTATCCTACAAATGCAGCAGAACATGTAGCTTTACATGGCATAGTTATTTACTGGTGGCATTCATCAAGCTGATTCGGGCCATTTAGAAGAACCCACTGGCTTAATAGAGACACTGACACTTGTTCAAATAATAATTGAGCTCTATGTCTTTGATCTTCTTAATAGTGTCAAAAGCTTTTCTGTGCAAATTACTGGAAAGAAATTGCATCAATTAATTTCATTTTATATAACTAAATAAATAAATAAATGAATAAGACAAACTAGACACCCAAAGTGTGTGAATTCCACTGGCTGAGATTTTAACTTTGCTGCAGTTAATCTAACCTGCACCTAAGTTCACAACAGATTATTACAGCAAGTTTAGTTTAGTTTGATCAGGATTCTATAATGGCTACAGTTAATGATGGCCTATTGTCTAAAGCGGTATGATGTGAAAATTGTAGGCTGAGCTGTGAGCTAAGCAGTCCTGTATGGCCTACCTGGTATGTGGAAATGCCGGGGAGCAGCCACGTATGTAGAAGTAGATGAGGGAGATTTGCCATCGGAATAGGTGGATAAGCTGGGGGTACTCCGACCGCTTTCACTACCTCCAAACGTGGAGGGCATTGAGTATGGAAGACAAAGGGGAAAGGTTTTGGGAAAGGAAGGGGAAAAGAAGGGAAGGGGGGGGGGCAGAAAACAGTATTATGGTAAGGTTACTTATACAGCTCAGACATGCAGCTATTACTATAATACCTTATCCAGTGACTTGATAACCCAGCCATTTACAGTGTCTGTATTCATTATATCCTGAACAATCAAATTTTTGTGGGATGTTATTTGAGTCTTCTACCTGCTAAGTGATGAGATTTATAAATAATTCTTGCTAGCACTTTAATGTTAAATAATCTTACACTATGTTGTTCATCAGCCCAAATGAGATATTTTTAGATATTTACTGGGATTCCCAGGCACAGGAAGACACTTTCCTTTCAAAGTATCATTAAGAAGCTAAATGCAAAGTAGAGTTTCAGATGCTCATTTATCTTAGGCCACTTACATCTCAGCCTGTAGGATTCAGATTGGCATTTTCTATTACTCTTTTTTCAGTCTTACTGCCAGCTTTACGCTACATGTCAAATTTACCTCGCATAAAGACATTAATACAAAACTTTATTAATTCAAGAGTTTTCTTTAAAGTATGTCAACGTATGAGGCCAGTTTAAAAGTACCAATTGTGGGATGTCCACAGAGTTCTTTACATGTCTGCCATGTCAGAGGGCTCGCACATTAAGATAGAAAAGGCCTCTTGCAACTCTGCACAGGACAGCAGGAACTTGTTTTTAGTTTGTTTATTCTGATGCCGTAGAAGTCATTATTGAAAACCAATCAAGCGATTTACTTGGAACATATAAAGCCGTCGGAGTTGTCAACCCTATGCTACTCTGTGGTTTCAGAAAGTCCTCCGAAATGTTTGGAAACAGCTGTTGAAAAGCTTCTACCACACATCTACTACAAATCTTTGTTTGAATTATAAGTGACCTTATTATTGTAGGGTCTTTACCTTATAATATAAATGTAAAAAAGACAATAAAAATCAGTATCATAGCACACCTGAAGGGCGGATGACCTCTCATCACGTAACATTTTCCATGTGCTAAGTGTAACAATGTGACATGAATTTTGCTGACTGCATGCATATGGGTGCTGCGTAACCAGGGCACACCCACTGTTACAACACAAGCAGGCTGGGTGATGGAGTCACTGACAACAGTGAAGCCAAAAGTAATAAACACTCTACATCCAGAGCTTTGAGGAAGAACTGAGACTGTGTCTCTGTGTGAGAGTGTTAGCTGACTGAACACACACACTCATCTCCCCTTAGACACAGAGGAATTATCGTCAGGGATCTGGATGCAAGTGGATGAGATCACTGTCACGCAAGTCTAAGTGGATCCCCTTCACACACTTAAACACACACATACACACAATAGTACTGTTAGTGCGGGTCTAAATGTAGGGCAGAACATCCATACAAACATCTGGAGCTAAGACACGAGGCTAAGAGAGTTTGGGAGGAGATGCATTACAGTTTATCTGAACAGATTACACAATGGCAAAGTCATTCATTAATCAAAAACCAATAACACAAAACAAGATATAAAAGATGGCTTGGGATCATTAACAAGGAATCTGGGGATTAAAACGAAAACATGCATTTTTCATCCTTACAAGGTTCTTTCCTAAATATCCTTCATCAGTGTCACTTCATTTCAAAACACTTTTTGCCCCATAGGGGCCAATCTGCAGAGCAAAACATCTGGATAACGTGAGTGCAGCTGACAGCAAGTCTTAATACTACAATAAAACATCATTAAAACACAAGTCTGTTGCATTCGTTGTACTCTGTACAATGACAATAAAGGCTATTCTATTCTATAAAGACAAACAGCAGTTCTAAGGCAACACTACGCTGCATGCCACTGCAACTGGAAACCAGATCCCAAATTACAGATCAGTCTGCTTGGTCTGTTTCATTTCTGTGTTACTCCTCTTTTTCATCTTCCCCATAAAAGAGTCCCCATCTCAGCCTCTTCACCCCACTGTGAAAAAACCCCCCCATGGCCCAAGTGCTCGTGGTTTTCTGTGCAAAATGTGTCTCCACCTCTTAAATCACTCTACAAGTAATCTTCAAATTGCATTAAAAATTAAAACTACTAAGCAAATATTTGAGCTTAATAGTCCTTGTGCAGCCTTTTGAAGGAGTGGGCATTTGTGACCTTGCATGCCCTTCAGCCATCAGTAAACTAGGCTCTCTCTGATAGTGCTAAATGCTGAAACGACTGGAAAGGTCAAACTCATAATGCCATTTTACAAGAGTTTTCTCAAGCTTAAATTTATATAGTTCTAAAAAATTATTAGCAGCTTATCTAATTATCCATTTATTTACCCATTAAACAAATATGGATGTGCTCATAAAACTACGTTTAAAACAGCAGCCAAATGCAGCCCAAGGCACAAGCAGACAACACTGCTAACATGAGTTTTAATGTTCATATTATTGGGTGGAGCAGGTACAGTAGGGCAAAACTGAAATGGTAAGTTAAGTGGTATATTAATATCAATTCATATATTATTATCTATTGTGGGTGATACATCTTTTTATACACGTGTATGATTGCCTGAAAGTGTCAGGGTGGGAATATCTCTAGACTCCACATTCACTGTGCACTAGTTTGTGTTCATGGTTTTATTGCTGAATCAACTGATTACTGGTGGTATTAAGCCAAGTGTTTTTTTAAAACCGTGTCATGGAACATTTTATTGGGTCCTGTTGCGGAAAAATTGACAACATCTGCAGATGCAATGACATGAAAAAGAAAGTTTTCACAGGGCCTGATGCAGTCCTGTGAAAAACTGAACACACACATGAGCACATGAGCACTTCATCACTATCTCGCATTATTAAGAAAAATGTTGTTCTGCTTCTCTTCACCACTGCTTCTGCTCATTGATGTTTGTGGGCATTTGTTCATGCACAGCTCTCTTAAGATATCTAACAGTTTGAGGTCTGGACTTTCACTGGGCCACTGCAACACCTTGGTTCTTTTCTTTTTCAGCCAATCTGTTGGGATCATTTTCCTGTTGCATGCTGTCCATTATGGCCAGCATCTCCACGTTGATCTCATCTGTCCAAACGATATTGTTCCGGAAGTCTTGTGGTTTGTTCACATGCAACTTTGCAAACCCAAGCCATGCTGGCCTGTTCTTTTTAGAACATCCTTCCAAACAAGCCATACTTGTTTAGTGTTTTCTTATTGTACTATTATGAACTTCAACATGTAACATGTTAAGCAAGACCTATAGAGTCTGTGATGTAGCTCCTGGTGTGTGCGCTCCTTCCACTCCCAGATTGTGGTATTGTGTTAACATATACCTGAATACTACTGAACAATAAACAGCCAGAGCTTTGAGTTTTGGACACACTTGCCAATGACCAACTATTCAAGTGTACGGCATTTGATTAGCAAGCACCAAGCTGCTACTTATCCTCTTAATCCTCTCTGACACAATGTAAATCTCTGACGTACACAATAGACTTTTCCAATGATTCTGTGTTAGGAATTTACCATTTGTCAATCATCAAGTAAGAAAACCTACATTGTCTTCAAGATTTATATCAAATTCACGGTGATAAAGACTGTATTATGACAATGACAATCATTCAAGAAAAATAGCAGAGTAGATCTAAGATCAAAGCTAGGCAGAACAGACAAGTGCAAAGATGAAATCGCCCTTAACCATTCTCTAAAAGTTAATACCAGATGTATCAGGGTCACAAACAGGTCTACAACGAGTTAAACCATGCACAACAATAACCACATTCACAGACACAAGTGAACAGGGCAAGCAGAATGAGAAAAAAGGAGCAGTCCTAAAAATATGCCTTGATGCATCCCATGAAACCTGTTAACACCACAATACCAGAACACAACATCACAAAACCTGCTATCCATTCCACTACAGGGAGAGGAAACACAGAGAACAGAACTGCTATTGTCTTTACCGTTAGGAGGAGGTAAACTGAGATGCAGGGATGTCCTAGGTTTAGGGTCAGGTAGGGGGTCCTGTTTGAACCCTGAGAGGTGAGGGAGATCAGGGGATGAAGGAAAGCGAGCTTGCTGAATAAGCCCCCAGGCAGGGTTACATTATGCGAGGGAAATGTGAAAGGTACTGGTTTGTGATGTTGATTTCAGGGATGTGTGACACTGAAAACCGCATCAGTGGTTTCATGGCTTTAGTTCAAGAATCAGTGAGAATACAGAATGAAAATAAAGTTTCATGAGTGACCCAACGTTTACAGCAGTTCACACCAGTATAGTCTATTCCCATTATGGCTCATAAGTCTATGGTAAATCCAGGTCCTCAAAGACACACAGTGAGAGTTTACAGCACACGGTTAAACTGTTGGTAAACCCATGCGAAGTCGGGTCATTGGTCACAGCACTCCATTCTGTAAGACCTTAGATCTTAGTCGAATACAGAGAGGACTGGTTTGCTGCTGAATCACCAGGTTTCCACGCTTCTTTTCGGGCATCTTGGAAACCAGCTTTTGGGACACGTTAAAGCCTCTTTTAAATATTTAAATATATAGATTTTTAGTTGGCTTTTATTTTTATTTTTCTCTTTTTAAAATTTTAGCAGGAATGATTCTAGCAAGTAGTCCATTGTCTGCATTGGACCATGTCTTTAGTCACTAATACCTCTAAAGTAAGGGATATAGTTGTGCTGCTGCAGCATAGCCAGGGTGGTGGGATTTAGGTGTAAAGACAAGCCTGCACTACCACCTGTTGGTGTAGGCGAGTACTTGCCACAACTACCACCACCACTGCTCCCTTCAGCCCCACCAGAATAGTACATGGGTGGGGAGGATGTGTTCCTGGCCCAGGTGGAGGGGTACTTAATGCCCCCCATGAGGGCTGGGGGTAAAGCTTGGCTGCTGTGTCTACCGGCAAGGTATATCTCTGGTCCTGGGTATCCAAGCAAATCACAGGAGAGTACAAAGCATAGGATAAACTTATTAGGATACGAAGTTTCTTTAAAGCCTTTAAATCTGTTTGGAAAAAGGGTATTATTATTATTATTATTAAAAAGGGTAAGAAACCACAAAGTAATATATATATATATATATACATACATACATATACATACATACATACATACATACATACATATATATATATATACACACATATATGTACATATACATATATACATATATACATATATATTACAGAACACAGAAGAAAACAGTTCCTAGGCTTCTCTTATCACTACCTGCAACTACGCTAAACATATGTAATGATTTGATGAAGAGCACACAGGTGGACGCTGGGGTGGTGGAGGGGTTCAAATAGCAAGCAGTGATGCTGTGCAGCAGCATTAACATGTAAGAAAGATGTGTAGCTTAAACAGACCACCAAGTTGGGAGAGTGTGTTTGGTCTATGACGAGAGTAAAGCATGTTACATGTATATGATACAGCACAGCTTGAGATGTTTGACTAAACTAGCTTGGAGGCTTTGATTTTCTAAATAATAAATAAATTTGGTATTTCTGTCAAGTTCTGTCAAGACTATCCCTGCAGTTTTAATGCACTTGTACTTTACTTGATAATGGTGCAAATGCAAGTTTTGTATTGGGACGTTACTTAATTCTGCAGTCGACCGAGTGAAAACAGTGGCACTCTGCAACTTTATTTTTATATAGTAACACAACCAAAAACAACCATTTATAAATTAAAAATAAAAAAGTAGTGCACTCAGTGAGCACCCTCTGTCCTATTATTAGTCTAGTGTGACTGAGCCATAAACTGTTGGATCTAATACAGGTTAAACCTGGACATAATTGGAAAGTAAGACCTTTCAGCTTTTCATAAGGCCACAGTGATGTATGGATTATGGGGTTTTGCTAATACCTGGTCGGCTGTAGTTCTGAGGGGAACGAGACGGGGTGTACCGCCCATAGCCCCCCAGGGAGCTGTTAGAGCTGGGGCTCGATGGCCTCCGTTGACGGGGTGATTTTTCCCCATCACCCTGAATACGCAAACACAGAAGATAAAAACAGAGTGAGTACATTCTATGCACTCAGTCCTTAATTTCAACATCAGAGAAAAAATTTCTAAAATATTAATAGTGAGGCAGCTGAGTTATGTTGCACAAGTCACACCAAGGAGCAAAGATAACATAACGTCAACATAACAAGAGTGAGGAGAAATGTGTGCGCTTATTGTTATGATTAAGAGCAGAACTCATTTCAAATATGTATCAACAAATGGAGCCAATGGTTTGGATGTTTTTCAAACTTTCAAAACAACATGCATGTTCTATTTTAAAAACAAGCTGATTACATATATTTTTATTGCTTGTGCTGTTATACTAATCCATCAAGAACTGAAACTGAAAAACTGTGACTCTAAGAAAATGAATCCTGCACTACTGATATTAGCCTTTGGCAGGGAAACCAAAGAGCATGCTTTACTCCAGGCCTCAAGGACCAGTGTCCTGCAGCTTTTAGATGTGTCCTTCATCCAACACAGCTGATTTACCCCCTCAACACATAGTATAATGTTATCATATCTGCACATAATCCAACAATTAAAACACATCCCACAAACCATTTAAAACTGTCAATTACCCTAGAAAACTCTTATGTCCCAAATATGGCAAACAACTTGTTTGTGTCCACAAACACATACACTCACACACAAGCACACAAGAAGGCACTGATGAAGTATGATTTACATCCACATTGAGACACAGTGCATCACATTACCTCAGTAGGAGTAGGAGAAAGCAGCTGGGGAGACTGCAAATGAAAATGGGGAAAGAGCCAATGATTAGGAAAAACTCATATGTGAGAATATATGAGTTAACCAACCAGCAATGAGAGTGGGAGTGAGCAATGATGTCCAAATGCAAGGACATTGCTGATGAGTGAATGAGGAAGTTTACAGTTCGGCTTATAAGGTCAGGGCTGTGAAGCTGTGGCTGAACTGCAGTGTGGCATTAATGAATGACTTCACTGCGATGATGGAGGATGAGGAAGGTGAAGAATAAAACGAAAAGACAGGGAAGAAGCGACACAAGGAAGGTTTCTCGCTCAAATTGCATTCATTCACTGGAGTGAGACAGAAAGAAACCTGTGAACAAATCAGTTCTTTAGAGATAAAAGGATGATTGGACGTATTAAATCGTTAGAAAAAAGACACATTCCTCTGGTTTTCAGTTTAAGTCTGGATATATGCTGCATACATTCAAATTCACCTTAACAAACAATATCAGGACAGAAACACTTGCTCCATATCGCCCATATTTGGCTAGTCTCTGGCTGACACTCATTAACAGTTAAGCAGGTAAGAATGTGTGTAGTGAATTCCATTTACTCTTGTTACTGTACCAAAGTTATGTTCACTTGCTTTCTGAGCCATTTAAAACCCCTTTAGTTACAATTTTACTGAAACTTAAATTTGTTTTATAGAAGTATTGTTCTACTGTCATAACGGAGTCATGACAAACCATAAGAATTACTAGTGAAAAACTTCATCACAGCAGCGAATGAAAATGGAGTCGGAGTTACCTCTCCATAGTGCCTCTCGTCAGATGGGTAGCTGACATAGGGAGAGTAAGACAACATGTCAGGCCTATCTATGTTATAGATGGCCTTGGTCTTTGGAAGGGCTGCCAGGTCCTTGTAGTCCAACATTTCCTCTCCTAGCTTGGCCTGGCAGCAGACAGGAGACAGATTTAGTTTTTATTTGCATACTGACACTTGGAGGAGCACAGAGGTACAAAAGTCATCTGTTGCTCCCTTAAGGGTGAATAGAGGTGATGCAGTCTTACATAGATGACTCTGCTGGGAGAGCCCGAGGCGCTGGATGCCGGGACTGAGGTGATGCTCTCTGATGAAGTCCGGGTCACCTGGAACACACACACACAGCAGTTTTAAACACACTGAATTATGACAGGTTAAGAAAGGTGGCATTCATGTAATTACTGCCATCCATTCAACCTCATGCGTAGTAAGATATTATTAGAGATGGCACGATGCCACTTTTTTATGTCCGATACCGATATCATAAATTTGGATATCTGCCGATACCGATATGAATCCGATATAGTGTTTTTTAATCAATAAAACAGTTTTTTAATATCTTGCTGCTTTTTGTATAAGTTCATACTCAAGTTAAAAAAAACAAAACAAACACTAAAGCTATTCTGTTATACCTGTATGCAAAAAATACACTGCACCCAAAATATTTCATAGTTCAGCAACACTGATCAATCTAATAAACTTAAACCTGCTCCATCCTCCCTATTCTGGTATTTTAAAGAGTACTTAGCAGAAATATTAAGCAACCTAACTAATAGGGTTGCAAACTCCCAGCAAAAAAGGGAACCACCCCCCACCCTCCACCTCATGATGCTTAATCGACGTAATCAACTTTAATTTGATGCAGTGTGAAAAAAATGCACAGAAATAAATTATTTTTCAAGAATAATTAAATAGATTCAACATCTTTCTTCAACTATAGCTTACTAGGGTATATTAGACTTAACAGTTACTATATACAGTAATGGACTTCTATACATTTTACATCAGATTAAAACTTTGGGTGTAAGATTCAGATAATTATTTATTAAAAGCTCGACATTTTAAATGAGAATAAGAAAGAAAAGTATGTCTTTGTGCCCCCTTTTCCCTGTTCATGCCCTATCGGCCCCCCTGGCTAAACTTTGCTAGATCCGCCCCTGCACAGTTACCAGCCGTCAGCTACGTAGAAAAAGATCCTGGTGTAGAAAGTAATATTAAATAAATTCTAACAACAGCTTATCAAGCTTAAACGTGCTGCTGTTGTTCAGCCGCTGGTTTCCTCTTTCTGGTGCAAAGTGGGCCAAAAACAAACAAGAGAGACGGACTCGCGACAGAAAAGCCGATCAGCTGATCATTGATCAGTTTCATGATTGAAGTAGCAGCAAGGGAGAGAGAGGCAGTCGCTCCATATATCGTTGTTAAGCTTAACGCTGGAATGCTTTACAAACATTCAGAGATGAACTTACACACTTGCTTTACTTCTCTCTGGGATAACTTCCTCGGAGATGAAATGCCGGTTTGGTAGCGAGGCTACAAATACACACAGCCGCTCTATCACGTGAGCACACTGCTCCACGTGCTACGGTTATGAGCCGAGTTACGCCATGTCGCAAGTTTTGTGAGGTGCTTTTTTGATATTTAATGGATCGGATTACATTTTTTATTTCTCTCCGATATCCGATCCAGTAATTTACGTCAGTATCAGACCGATACCCATATGTATACGTATATCATATACATTTTTTTATTATTCAAAGCTGCCCTTTCTTTTCTTTAGGGTAGTAATGTAACAACACAGAAAATCCTATAAACGTCTTATCCTGAATGGCTGCTTCAACTGCTACACGTTTTTTCATCATTATTGATAAAAAATAGTAAAAACAATCGTCTTGCCAGAGAAGTGTCCTCAAACTCAAACCCCAAAAGTTTTGCATTTGCAGTGAAATAAGTCAAGCTAGACCACAGTCGTATCACAGTCATTTTTTAAAAGTACAGCTTTAAACCTTAACATTGTAATAATAAAAAACCGAATTAAAGTCAAAGTCCAATTATATGTCAACTCGCCCATCCATCCAGATCACCTCTCTACAAAAACTGTGCTCCTTTAAGGTTAGAGTTATGCCCAGCTGTGGACATGGACAAGCAGAAAACAGGGATTACTAGTCATTCCTGTTATACTTTTCTCAAGTCTTCTTTAAATCCATCCAACAGCCAATCCGATCCAAGATAAGACTACTCTCCAAGAGAAACCATAACATCTGTAGAATTACATCATGTTGGTCCTGCTTTGTGCCCGTCATAATTTCCATGACCACTAGGGGACACTGTCGTGTCATTATACCGTTGACTAACTGTTACTCTTCAAGTTGCTTGTAATTTGTAAACAGATGGAAATAAGCTCCTCCTTAAACTACCTTTGGGGAACATTTTGTTCGTTTGTTTGATGTACATGGCGTTTACCGTATTGCTGCATTATTGTTCATGCCTTAACAGTCCCAATGGCTTTATATAAATATTGCAAACACTCAAACTTAAAAAACACACTTGAAAGTATAACTGAAAAGATAGTGTTAGACACAACATCTAGAAGATGGCAACAAGAGGGAACTAAACCATGGAGAAGGACGACAGTAATGTTAACCCAATGCTGAATATTTAGCAGACAAATGGTGAACTGTAATTCTCCAACACTGTTTTCATGACAATCAACCTGGTTAAGCCGTATCATACATGAGTGTACGTAAATTGTAACAGTTAGCGTTGATGTTATGATCACACTTCAGACTCAGCCGGTTAGCCTAGCTTAGCATAAAAACTCAAAGCAGGAGTAAAAAGTAAAAAGTTCAGAAATATGCTAAGTATCACTTCTAAAGGTTCTATCAATTTTATTTATATAAAAAGACAGTTTGAGGTGAGTTTGCTAGAGAATCTAAATCTTCTCATCTCCCTTTTTAATTCCACTTCTGCATAACTTCATTTTTCTGTTATTACAGGGGCATTTTGTTTAACACAAACAATACAAGAACACATTTTAATTCCTCAAAAATTCAAACAGCAAATACCTACTTAACACAGAGAGCGCAGTGCCTGTATTAGTGAAGCTGTACTGGGATCAGTACCGATGATGTTTAAGTCACAAGTTGAATGAGAGAGAGTGAACTTTCCATCATACGGCAAATTAAATATTTGGAGAATCGTAACAGTTGTGTTTGATATTTTTAGCACGCTGAAACAAGACAGAAGCATCCACTCTGTCTGGCCAAGCTGTGTGAGTGTTGCCCTCTATGGATGGCAACACTCACACTGCCACATCAATCCTAATCATAACTGCCCAGGAGACCATTCTGGGTACATGCGCAGACAGATCCTCAGCTTCTTTAGTCACATATGTCAGCTCTGCATAGCACCAGAGTAAGTAACACATGTAACTTTAACACTTTGTGTTGCTGTGACTGCTTCTCAGCATGAAGAAAACGCAGCACTAAGTTGTGAGTTCTAAACAACCCATGCAGCAGATGGTTGTGAGGCGAGGGGAACTGAGTGGGGTTTTGGTTGCGGGGACGTACAGGAGCACCGACCTGCTGCTCGAGGCCGTCATTGAGCTGTATCCGGACCTGCTTCTGGGAAGGAGAGGGGTGACGATGAGGAATGAGGAAGGGAGATGGAGGAAGGGCAGACAATGGCTGATGCAATGCTCAAACAAGAACCTTTTTCTTTATTTAACTTCAGCTTCACACAGTTTTCTTTTGATGGTGATTCTTGTTATGCATTGTTGTTGGTGACATTTTTGTTTCTGTTATTACTCTATAGTCTGTATAAAATGTTGTACCACTTTAATGACTGAAAGGGACCAGCAACAACAAAAGGAATGACATGAAAATATTCATAGGAATGTTCTTACTGGTGAACATTTTTATTTACAATGAAACAAATTATGAAATGTTCAAGTTTAGAAAGCTAAATGAAAAAATGCCAGATGAGTTGCAAAAATGTTCTAAATTATTATTGTTGTTGTTTTTTATTTCAGTAACTATTGCAGTGGACGCTGGGATGTGTTGGTATCTCTACTTTAGGTATTAGGTCTATTCAGGGGAAAAAAGCAAACTTTAAAAACAAAAAAGAACTTTTTAACAAATATTTGTAATAAAGATTGAACTGTGAACTGCGTAGCTTGTGGGGATTAAAAAAAAGGCAAAAAGCTCCTGAAACTGCAGTTCAGAAGTTCATGTTAAGAACTCGAAAGAACTCGAAAGAAACCTCAGTGACTGTCTAACACAGACCCAAATTTTTCTCCTGCTCACTATTTCATGTACACAAGAAGGTTGGAGACCTCCATTATAATTTCCTGCGACTATGAAAAATTCAGTTTTTGAAACTGTTTTTTGGGCTCATTGTGATATTCCACTTTCTGTATTAAAAGCAGCTAAACTCATCCACTGACTCTGCTATATTCAGAGGTTTTTCAAACTCTTCCTTTTTAACTTCTGAGGAATTCATGACAAGGGAGTATCAGAGCTTTATCTCTTCTGTCAGATATTTACACACATATATATATATATCTCTGTCAGGACTGCCTTTACCACCCACCTTACTCTTCTCCTCCTGCTTGGCTGCTTGTCTGCATGGAGGATGCCAGATAGACGATCCTGAAGACACAGAGACAAACAGCACCATTTGCACTTTCATGTTGTTGAAAGTGGGTCAAATATTACAAAAATGGTTTAGTTTAATGAACTATTTGATTGATTTAAATCATGCAGTATGTCACGACTATAAAATGCCCTGATGAGTCACAGCAGGACTTTGCATGAGAACAGCCAGATCCATGGTGGCTGCAGGCTAAAACCTTCATAAACTGGAGTGACATGTTTTATGCTTTTTAAATCAGAAATAATTGAATTAATTTACTGTCTGCCTTGTGTTAATCACAGCAGCAGCTGACAGAATCTCTGTTACTAAACTAATGTGACTCAAGCACACATGTGCCTGATTTATTCACCAACACACACTGGGTTTATGAAACAGAGTAAAAGAGAACGTGGTGAACCAAAAAGTGATGTCGCGACTAGAAAATTAGCTCTTATTGCCTAAGAATAGAAAGTAATGTGCTTTAGTCTAATAATAGATCATGGGTTTTAGCACTGGATCCTCTGTGGTTAGGCAGGAAAAACTACACTGCCTATCCTGACAGGTAGGAGCTATAATAAGAGATATGAAGGCTGCTTCTACCTTGCAGGTACATTTCCTCTCCCTCTGCAAACATCTGCTCACACCGGACACAGCGTGCACATGTGGGGTGGTAATGCTTCTCGCCAGCCTGTTGAAGAATGAAAACACATTAGCACACTGCAGCAGTTACAATTTATAATGTCTCCTAAGAAATGCAGACCAAAAAGACACCTTCTAACAAAGCAGACGAGGAATCAATGCATTGCTTTCAGATGGCAACCAGTATGCTTTCAAGCCTGCAGTTTAAATGTTCTTTTCATTCAATGAACGATGTGATTTATTCCCTATGCCTAACACATTCATTGAAAGACCTCTGTGTTAGCATCTATGTTTATATACATAAGCTCTCTTACAAAATGCATAATTACCTCATTATAAATTAGTTGCAAAATGAACATTGAGTTTCAGGAGTGTTGCTGAGCTAAAGCTAAATGAGGGACAAAGGGAAACTGCTTCTGCTAAACTACAAAAATTAGGTTGTTTTATCATTTAGCCACAAGGTGGAGACATTGCCATTCAGACAGAGCACTGCAGGAGTAACACATAAAGTCCTTTTGACAAAAAGGATTTAAAATACATTCATGACATTCAGCTTAATCCTGTATTTATACAAATTCACCCAATACGTTTTCTCCATAAGCACTGTGTATGATGGCCTGTGTGTTAAGCATGGAGCTCCTTGTGTGTTTAGTATGGAGGCAACATGTTATCTCCAGAGCTTGTCAGAATCCACAAAGCGGTGTGATGGGAGGGAGTTGTCACAGTGAGGATGAATGAGTCTGTGATATTGATTTTGAGGCATAGTGTGGATTGTTTCTTGACTTGTGAAACTGCTAGTCTATATGTGACCTGGTCAAGTGTTGGGGACAGTCTGGGTTCATTTTTGGCTGTGGAAGCTGATTTGACTGACGCCGACACTGTGTGCATTGAATCGTTTGGGTAAGTTGTCTGCTTTCTACTTCCATCCCTAAGAGCAAATATTACATTTGGTCAGTGGCTTCCTCAGCAGGAACTCAGAGGGAGTTTTCCTTTTCTTGACAGATTTTTCAAGCTGTTTCGTGGATTCAAACTAGCAAACCTTAAAAAGCATCCCATTCTCTTAAGTTTCACAGTCTTTTGGGTGATTTTCTTAATACCAGATCCTTATTCGGTCTTTTTTCATGGCAACAAAAACCACCATTACTGAAAGTGAGCAGAATTGTCTCATTCTTGGCAGTTTTTCTTGTCCTAAAACACGTGTGATTTATGGACTCAGTAATAAACAAAACAAGGTGGAGGTTTATTGCAATTGAGTCATTCTTTTGCTCTCCATGCAAAGAGATTTCATCTTGCTGTAACAGCAGTTTGATTACGTACAACACCTCTGAGGCTCCTCCACTTTGCTGCGTCATTCTAATAGGGTAGGATACCAGAAAACAGGATGTCAACATCATATTTCTTGGCTAACACCCTGCTTAATGCTTGTCTCAACCAAATGGACAGCAGATGGAAAGAGGAGGCAACCAGGCACAGAAATGTACTTAAAAAAAGCAAGAAGACTCCAAGTCTAGGTGTTACTGACAGAAAAACAAAAGGCCATCTGTTTAAAAACTGACAGACAGTGCAGATGCTATGCCAGAAGTTCATATTTGAACTGAAACTGAGAGAAAAGAGGAAGCTGACATAGGAACTCAAAGAACTAAGAAGATAAAAGGCTGGAACAGGATTGAAATTCAAACATGGAAAGTATGAGAGAGGCAGAAAGGAGATAGAACTGCTATCAAATCCTTCCTTTCTCAGCACAGGGAGGAGAATGATCTTATTCAGGATCCTGCAGGACTGGCATATCAAGGAAGAAGAGGGGGGCTCAGGAATGGTTTGGAGGGAAGTTGAGACTGAAAGAGCCTAATTTGATTTTTACTTAGGAATGAGGCTGTAGCTGGTCAGCCAGGGTTGAAGTTTGTGGCTGAATCTCATGCAGAGTATGGCTTTAGATAATGGGAGAGCTGCTTTTTATATCTTTGCTACCTACAGTCCATATCTTTTCTCAAAATTATCATACCTCTAATGCTCTCTCCATTTGCTCATCTCGCAATTCCAGGAACCAGTCAGGTGAGGAATGTGATTCATTTAGAAGGCTGGAATAAATTTGTGGCAGTATGAACACACAGACACACAAACATGGTCTATGGTCTGCAGTCCAGTTGATTGCACATACATCAAGCTCTGTGTTGCATCACAGGTTATTAGAACACAACAGCAATGGGATCTATATGCAGCTCATGATTTTACAGCTCAAAATACTGTAAGAGACAAAAGTACTGGCACGAATGCTGCGTCATCTGATACTGAAATCAAAAGTTTACCTCAGAATATATTCAACTTTAAAGTAAATGGACTGACATCCCAGTCTTACCGACCACTCAAAGTGCTTTAGAATACGAGCACTTCTCATCTACTCATTCATTCAAATACAGAACCTTATTAAAAAGTGACATTCATATCTCCACTGCACCACAAAGTGATCTTGAACACTGAAACCAAATGGTTAAAAAATACTGAAGCCTTGTTTCTGATGTTGAAGGTGTTTCAAACTAACACTGAACTTAATAGTCAGTATGAACAGTGACAGAAATAAAAAAGCCAATGAAGCAAATTAGGCAATGATCAGTAGCACAGATGCTTAAGCAGAAATACTTAATCTCATCAGGTATAGTTTGGGTGTTACATATTGTTTTCCCTCAGCTCAGTAAGTTTAAACCTTTCAATAATGTTTGTGTAGGTTCTTAATCATCCAGGTCATGGCAAGTGCTTAAGTCAAATGAGCTGAACTACCTTGGGCTGCTCATCCAAAATGTTTCTTCATTTCATGTCCTTTCATATTCCTGCATCGGCTAAAGATGCAGAATACAAGACAATATGTCTGCCATCCTGGTTACATATGTTTCAAGTGCTTGACTCAAAGGCATCTAGACTTCTTTTACGTTCTTGGTTCTTCTTCATCTTTTTGTTTTACTATTCCCAGTATTTCCAGTTACACATCACAGTGTCTACTCTCACTGTTTCACTGACAAAGTGACTGACTAACATCTTGGATGAGAAATAAATGCCGTGACACAAGGAACACCGGGCAACAATAAACATAGCTTCAATTCCATTGCTGCTATCTGCAGTTACTGACTCAGTGCAGTATGACCTCTGTGTGCTCTTTGATCTCAACCAAATGTCACGGCATTTTGAAAGAACAGTCTTTCAGTTACTATTTCAAAGTGCAGCCTTGCACAGCTAGCACGAGACAGCATCATCATTCAACCCTGAATGTTGATGATAAGGCAGTAATAGCCCAGCTAACTATTAGCTAGCTGAAGTTGTCTTTCTATGGTAGATCCTATGGACATTTATAACTTTATTTGCAATTCCACCTCATGCTGCTAACTCTAGCAAAGGTGTTAAAATAAGGATCACAAATGCCATTGTTCTGTCCCACATATCTGATGACACACTTTAAAACATGCACTGCGTCATCACGCTCACCGATGAAGATGAACCAATGGTTTCAGTCAAAGAAAGTGATCATTTGAGGACACTGAGGTGAGAGGCAGGTGACAGTGTGCAATCTGTGCTATAGCTCCATTTCTAAAACATGAGACTCAGTCAGACTGCACTGAATATTCAACAACAGAGCAGATCCTGGCTGCGTGATTCTCTGCCACTATTCTTTTACTTGTTATTGCCGTGTTCCTTCTTCCAGAATGGGGATCATTCCTTCAGCACTTATCAACGCACGCACCATCTGCATCTGCTGTTGCAATGTCATTAACTTGTGTTACATCATATCACCCCGGAGATTCAACTCCCTGTAGTTTTCACGCAACAATCAGAAGTCTAAGCTTTGGCAAACATTTTATTCTGATATGGGTGTTTGTTTTTGCTGGAGTTATGAAGCTTGTTATGGAACCACAAAAGCAGCACTTCACTTTAGACTACGTGCAGTTCAACCTGGATATTAAGAATATGTTTCCTGGAAAGAGACGCACCCTTAACAACTATATGCTCAGTAAATTGTATGCTCAGTAAACACCAGCAATTACAAGAAAACTAACACACAAAATACCTTTGGCTGTTTTAAGGTATGTGGTGTTACTGTAAACCCCCATGACAAGAGGTAATGTATTTGCATTTGCAAATATGATGAATTTTTAATGGTCTCTTTGGGGAAATGAGGTCAGTCCTGGAATCAGTTAAGTGGAAATATGAGCATGAGAAACATGTAAAATGCAACTCGCTGTGTTTTTCTGTAGCCTCTTTCTCTGTCTCCGATCACATACTTACCCACTCTGTTTTAAGCTTATAGGGCGTCGATGGACTGCTGGGGGTTTCTCTCTTTTATATTATAAAACGCACAATAAAGCATCATGAGGCAACTGTTGTTTAAATAAAAGTGAACTGAAATGCACTGAATTCTGCGGGTAAATGAGCTTCCTCCAAAGGGTGACTGGCCTCTCCCTATGAGGAGTTCAGCCATTTGGGAGGGGCTCAGAGTAGAGCCGCTGCTTGATCTGCCTCCTCACCTCAACTGGCTCAGTTGAGGTGAGGAGGCAGATCAAGGACACACTGGAGAGGCTGGCCTGGGAACGCCTTGGTGTTCCCCCAGACAAGCTGGAGGAAGTGGCCGGGAAGAGGGAGGATGCTGCCCCTGCGACCTGGCCCCGGATAAGCGGAAGAAGATGGATGGATGAATGAGTTAAACTGATCTGAATTGAAAACCAGTCTAAGTAAGCCATTTAATGATGACTTTCTATTAATAATTCTTTAGCTTGTGTACAGGTTCACTGTCTCATACTGAACTTTATCTTAAATATGTGCCCTATGACAGAACTACCCAACAGAAACATCACTACAATGACCTGCAGAATCATATCCTGCAGTTCACACTGGCATACAAACACTGATATCACTCATTTAGATGGCAGTTGTGATTAAGTTGTACTGTCAACTAGAAGCCTCTTGCACTAAGTATAATGCTCTCTCACTGTCAACAGTGTAATCTAATAATGCAGCTCTTGGAAGGAACAAGCTTATTTAATAAATTAATTGTCGGGTCACTGAGAATTAGACAAGAAGCGTTTGAACAAAGTAGGAAAAAATACTGCAAGCAATCTGATTTTAAAAAATGAAGGTTATCAGCACATCAGTGCTGTATGGTTGGCCAAGAGAAGGAATGGCCAAGTCTGAGGTTTAACTTCCTATAGCTGTCCTAGAAATACCACCTTACTGATGATTTAACTACTGTGTAAACCAAACACTGAATAAACTGAACCAACATTCTTGGATTAAGTGGGATTATCGATTCAGATTGTTCAGTGTTTTCAACAGTTATTCCTTTTGTGCATTTATATTTACTGTAATTCCATTATTCTTCTCCCCGTGCATGTTCATATAGAGTAGACAACAAGTAAGTTGAACCACATGCTACATGCTAACAGCTAAAAAAGGTTTTGTTCTTAATGGAAGCCAGCAGTGCTGTACCTCAAGGACTTTCCCTGTAATGTACTTCTTACAGCTCTCACACTGGATGCCAAACATGGCGTGGTAGTCCATTTCACAGTAGGGGATCCCGTCCCTGTAAAAATGACACAAGACAAACAAGCAGGTCAGAGATCTGCATCTAGATTAAATCTAAATAACAGCATTAATGAAGTATTATGATAATGAAAGTATATTCAGCCAGACGTACTTGCTGATGTACTCGGCATTGAGCACCTTGTTGCAGACTTTACACTTGAAGCAGCCCAGGTGCCAGTGCTTGTCCAGTGCCACGAGCGACTGTTCATTCTTAAATTCCTTTCCACAGCCACAGCAGTCTGTACAGAGAACAAAATAACAAAGACTAGGTCAAATTCAAACACTAGAGTTTGCTTTCTTTTAGTGGAAAAGTTCTTTGATTTAACTGAGTTGAAGGGCAAAAGAAACTTTGGACATTTTGTTTTCTATGAGGAAAACACAATTTAGGAAAGTGCCAATTTGAGTGAAGGAACAAACAATCCGAAGTTTACTTATGGCATGAGTTATGCTTTCAAACAGGCAAACAGAGGAGAAAAGCACTGACTGTGGACAGCCTGTATGGGTGCAGGGCTGTTGGCGGGAAGAGGCTGGGTACACTTTTGGCAGATACACTCTTTCCCATTAAATGTCACTCGGTCACCGGCTGGAAATGGCTGTCTACAAACAAAGAGAAAAACAGTAGATGATCAGAGGGGTTTGACAGATACATTACAGTTTGTTCTACTCTGAAATGAAATTTGGTCCATCAGGGTGCATAAAAAGCTCCTCAGAAGGCCCTACAGACCAATCAGTAATATCCTCCAACCCCTGAAAGTATTTTTATGCTGATGACTTTCACCTGTAAGGAGGATCTGTCATCATATCTTTCACAAGAAATGCCAGAGAGCGCCCTAGAAAGTTAGAAATGCTGAGATCATAAGCCCAAGCTCTAAGCCTACTACTCAAAATATGTAACTAATTATTGTTACATGTTCTGATATAACTTAATGTATTTATTTACTCTTCTCTGCTATTATGACTAAATGCAATCCCCTGAAGACTGATGTAAAACTGGTTTAATAGCCATTAAAAGGAAAACCTAAATCTTTCAAAAGAATTGTTTATATATTAAGCTTGTCAGCTGTTGTTGGATATTTTTATTGGTTATTTACATCAGGTTCAGTCGTTAACGCATATATTTAGAGACTTGAGACTTAAGTCTCTAAAAACCTGCTGTATTTTCTTTGCCACTATTTACTTAAACAGGTTCTGCCTGACACAGTGGAGATCCTCAAATCCCAGTCATCATGCAGTAATCCAAGGGAATTTAAGAACAAATGAGAAACAAAATAATTGCGATCTCTCAGGCTGGAAAAGGTTATAAAGCCATTTCTAAAGCTGTGGGACTCCATTATCTACAAATGGCGAAAACATGGAACAATGGTGAACGTTCCCAGGAGTGACCAGCTGACTAAAATTACCCAAGGAGTGCAGTGACGACTCATCCAAAAGGACGCGACCCCAGAACAACATCCAAAGAACTGCAGGCCTCACTTTCCTCAGTTAAGGTCAGTGTTCATGACTCCACCATAGCAAAGAGACTGGGCAAAAATGGCTCCAAGACGAAAACCACTGCTGAGCAAAAGGAACCTAAAAGCTCGTCGCAGTTTTGCCAGAAAGCATCTCGATGATCCCCAAGACTTTTGGGAAAATACTCAAATGACGAGACAAAAGTTAAACTTTTTGGAAAGTGTGT